TGACTGCTATCAATTGCATCACTTAATTATATATGACTGCTATCAATTTCATCACTATTATATATGACTGCTATCAATTGCATCACTATCATATTTGACTGCTATCAATTTCATCACTATTATATATGACTGCTATCAATTTCATCACTATCATATTTGACTGCTATCAATTTCATCACAATCATATATGACTGCTATCAATTGCACCACTATCATATTTGACGGCTATCAATTGCATCACTATCATATTTGACTGCTATCAATTGCATCACTTAATTATATATGACTGCTATCAATTTCATCACTATTATATATGACTGCTATCAATTGCATCACTATCATATTTGATTGCTATCAATTGCATCACTATCATATATGACTGCTATCAATTGCATCACTATCATATTTGACTGCTATCAATTTCATCACTATTATATATGACTGCTATCAATTTCATCACTATCATATTTGACTGCTATCAATTTCATTGGGTTGGTTGTGTTTCCATTTCTGGACTTGAGAACACATAAAAGGATTGGGTTTTAATACCAATTTTCAAAATTGAGTACTCTATAGATAGCGTGTAGTATTGACCAGGACATTGAGAAAGTCGCCATTAATTAATGGCAATAGTCCGTGCTAGTGGACTGTAACATCACTTAGTAGAATATTGTCGCAATATTGCTTAATTGCCACTTTTCCCTGACAGGTAACATCCTATGGGGCAGACCTTTATAGGACTTCCAGAGTCATAACTACACTGATTTCCCTATATTTGTTAAACTTTCCCTAACAGCCTAACTTCAAAGGCTCACAGCTAGAACTACGGGTGACAGTCTGACTTAATCAAATACTCATAAATACCACTGACTTCTAACCCCTACTGGTCATATCAGTTCAAATACCACAGACTTCTTACCTCTACTGGTCATATAAGTTCAAATATCTCAGACTTCTTACCACTACTGGTCATATCAGTTCAAATATCTCAGACTTCTAACCCCTACAGGTCATATAAGTTCAAATATCTCAGACTTCTAACCCCAACAGGTCATATAAGTTCAAATACCACTGGCTTCTTACCTCTACAGGTCATATCAGTTCAAATACCACTGGCTTCTTACCTCTACAGGTCATATAAGTTCAAATATCACTGACTTCTTACCTCTACAGGTCATATAAGTTCAAATATCTCAGACTTCTTACCACTACAGGTCATATCAGTTCAAATACCACTGGTTTCTTACCTCTACAGGTCATATAAGTTCAAATATCTCTGACTTCTTTCCTCTACAGGTCATATAATTTCAAATATCTCAGACTTCTTACCACTACAGGTCATATCAGTTCAAATACCACTGGTTTCTTACCTCTACAGGTCATATAAGTTCAAATATCTCTGACTTCTTACCTCTACAGGTCATATAATTTCAAATATCTCAGACTTCTTACCACTACAGGTCATATCAGTTCAAATACCACTGACTTCTTACCTCTACAGGTCATATAAGTTCAAATATCTCAGACTTCTTACCACTACATGTCATATCAGTTCAAATACCACTGACCTCTTACCCCTACAGGTCATAACAGTTCAAATATCTCTGACTTCTTACCCCTACAGGTCATATAAGTTCAAATATCTCCGACTTCTTACCCCTACAGGTCATATCAGTTCAAATATCCCTGACTTCTTACCCCTACAGGTCATATCAGTTCAAATATCCCTGACTTTTTACCCCTACAGGTCATATCAGTTCAAATATCTCTGACTTCTTACCCCTACAGGTCATATCAGTTCAAATATCCCTGACTTCTTACCCCTACAGGTCATATCAGTTCAAATATCCCTGACTTCTTACCCCTACAGGTCATATAAGTTCAAATATCCCTGACTTCTTACCCCTACAGGTCATATCAGTTCAAATACCACATATCGTAGAGTACACAAATGATGTATTCAGTATAATTTGATAATTTCATTAATGTTCAAAATCACAAAGATTTCATATTTTCCTACTTAGAGCATTTCTACAGTTTTGGATTTTCATACTAAGAATATTTAGAGATGCAACTTCTTTTTCAATTTTTTCATTATTGTTAAAAATAAAATAAACAAGAGGCCCATGGGCCTTAACGGTCACCTGATATATTTATACAGAGAGTTGATTTTGTTTTTAACACAATCAGAAATATTATTCAGTGACAAAAAACAATAAAACCACCTTATTCAATATCTAGCATACAGATTTAAGACTAAAAAGTATTTGAAACTAGCACCTCTGATTCTAAACAAGGAAAATGAAGAAATTTTAGCACACTGACTCCTTTGGGCCCCACCCTACAGCCCTTGGGGGTAGGGCTGGCTCAAAATTTTTCAAAGTATCAAACTGTCAACTCAGGGTTATAATTCCAATCAAGTTATTAACATGTAATAATCAAAGGATCATTTGCCATTATAAACCATAATAAATTTGCCCCCCCCCCTCCTTCCCCAGGGGGTAAACGTGATACCCTAGGGTCATAAACCTTCAGACCCTGCCATCTATGAAGAGTGTTTGATTCTACCACATCTGGGTCTTTGAGAAGATTTTTTTTGAAATTTCAGTCAATTCAACCCTTTTTGGCCCCACCCATCAGCCCTGGGGGGTCAGTAAGGGCTTGTATGTGCATACCATCAAACTGCTATCCAATACTGATAATGCTAACCCAAATTGAATTACTTCCAATAACAAGGTTACCGCAAGCGGTATATAATACGCCAGTCACACATTGAATGAGCAGTTGTTTGTATGATTGAAATATATTTGTGAGTAATTGATATTGAAAGAGAAATCATTCAACTTAACTGGTAGATCAATGAGTGCAATTCAACATCATGGAACACATGCATCGCATTAATGAAACCAAGGGGAATAACTCCAATAATTACGGTCGGATAATGGCTGTTATCGAACTTGTCCGAGGTTTTATGGTAATTAACCTTGTTGTGAAGTTTGAAGTTAATCCGTTAATAATAACTTGAGATATCGAGCGGACATTGTTTCGACAAGTCCATAAAGGGGCATAACTCCACAAATTATGGTCGGATAATGGCAGTTATCAAACTTGTCCGAGCTTTCATGGTAATTAACCTTGTTGTGAAGTTTGAAGTTAATCTGTTAATAATTACTCGAGATATCGAGCGGACACTGTTTCAGCAAGTCCATAAAGGGGCATAACTCCACAAATTATGGTCGGATAATGGCAGTTATCAAACTTGTCCGAGGTTTCATGGTAATTAACCTTGTTGTGAAGTTTGAAGTTAATCCGTTAATAATTACTCGAGATATCGAGCGGACACTGTTTCGGCAAGTCCATAAAGGGGCATAACTCCACAAATTATGGTCGGATAATGGCGGTTATCGAACTTGTCCGAGGTTTCATGGTAATTAACCTTGTTGTAAAGTTTGAAGTTAATCCGTTAATAATTACTTGAGATATATATCGAGCGGACATCGTTCGCATGCCCGCCCGCTCGCTCACGTGATAACATAATACGTCCCCGTCTTCGATTAATTAAACAGATGTTGGTCCAAAATGTGATTTCCCTATATAAACTATAGTAAAGTTTACCCCCTCCCCAGGGGGAAACGTGATACCCAAGGGTCATGAAATCCACAATTTTGGTAGAGCACCTTAAGACCCTTCCATCTATGAAGAGTGTTTGATTCTACCATATCTGGGTCTTGAGAAGAAGATTTTTGAAATTTCAGTCAATTCAACCCTTTTTGGCCCCACTCAATACCCCCGGGGGGTCAGTCAGGGCTCATATGTGCATACCATCAAACTGCTACCCAATACTGATAATGCTAACCTAAATTGAATTACCTCCAATGGCAATTAAACAAATGTTGGTCCAAAATGTGATTTCCCTATATAAACTATAGTAAAGTTTACCCCCTCCCCAGGGGGAAACGTGATACCCAAGGGTCATGAAATCCACAATTTTGGTAGAGCA